TCACTCTCTGGGGGTCTCCGAGCTCCTAGGGTCCGAGTCTTTAGCCTGTCCACGAAGTAGCCCATGCAGCACTGGACCCTCAAAGCGAGGTGCAGGTCCTTATGGGAAGAGCGTGTGAGTAACCAAATGACGGGGCTACCACCCTGCCATGGGCCAGCTGGGACTCTGGACCCGTGTGCTGGAGAGACCCACTTGAGAGGGAATTCGCTCACAACTCACCCAGTATCTATTTATGATCCTTAGTACTGTCCGTTCCTCCCAGCAAGGAAGATTTATCAATCAATCAGTCAATCAGTCACCCTGCTGGGTTCTCACGTTCAGCTTGTATCAACCTTCAGTGCTGAGCCATTCTCTCCCATGGAAACCAGCACAGTGAGACCACTGCTGGCTGCACTGCTGTGGGGGAGGCAGGGGGTTGCAGGGTGTCCCTAACTCAGACTTCACTGGTATAATGTGTGTGCGTGCGTGTGTGCATGTGTGTGTGTGTGTGTGTGTGTGTGTGTGTGTGTGTGTATAGTATATGTGTAATGTAAGTGAGCACTTTTTCCTGTTTCTCTTACTGAGCTGGTTTATACCTTGGCAGACAGGAAGGGGACCAGAGCCATGCAGGGGGAAGGGCACACAAAAGCCTCCATGGTGAGATGCACAATTGCCAGCTCCCCCAGGGGCAGTGGTCCTTGACAATGTCCTGATGTCCAGATGCAAAGCTTTTTAACAAGGGAAAGGAGCCATGGATGCGAGCAAGTGAATACCAGCAGGCTGGGGCCTTGGTGCTGACCCCTGGTCGGAGCGGCTCTGGTTCTGCAAACAGCTCCACGCTGCCTGGGGCAGCGGGGAGCATGAGGGCCGTGAGTGCAGAGTCGCAGGGAGAATGCGCTGGCTTGAAAGTTGCCCCTCTCCAGGATCTGAGAGTCTTTGTCATCCGTATGCCTGTCCTGCTGTCTCTCAAGGAAGTACTGCTCTGCGGTTAGAGCCAGTGTCTCCCACCCAGACGAGCTGGTATCCTACACAGCCGGTGGATAAGTCCAGAAATCCGGGAAGTACCGCCCCGGGTATTCTCTGGGTCCTCTGTCCAAGCCAGACTTTGTCCAGGTAGGACACAGAAGACTACAACGGGAAGTAGTTTTTTAAAAAAAATTAATGTATTATTTATCACACTCACTTATGTAAGCATTATTTCCTGATTATGGAAAATTTGAGAAATTGGGAAAAATATAAGGGAAAAATAAAGGAGTTGTAAACCTTCAACAATTATGTGTATGTATCCCTGTGTGTGTGTTCATGTGTGGTTTGCATAGGTACAGAGAAATATAGTTAAGTGATGGGTATCTATTTTTTTAAAAATTAAAGTATGTATGTTTTTAAGGTACTGGAGATTGAACTAATGGACTTTGCACTGAGCTACATCTCCAGTCTCTTCAAAGAATAGTCTTTTAAATTAAATAGCATTATTTATTTTTTGAGAGAAGGTCTCACCGAATTTCCTAGACTGCTCTTGAACTCAGTCCTGCGTCTGTGCCACCAGACGCTGGGATGACAGCTGTGAGCCACCAGGCCTTGGTGAACCGGGTCTTCCCTGTTATTAACTGATGAGTCACTATTTTATAACATGCGCGCGCGCGCGCGCACGCGCGCGCACACACACACACACACACACACACACACACACACACACACACACACAGGATGCCCTGCTTCTGTTCATCCCCAGGGGACCACACATGTAACACAGTGTTATTTCTCCCTTTCAGGATTTTTTCACACATAACAGTTTTGGGGTTTGCTTTGGAACCTAATATTTGTGCTATGAAATGTTTTATTTGCAAAAGAAAGAACCCAAGGGCATAAAACTCCAAGGGGAGCCCTAAAGTGACGCCTGGGGGGTTGACATTCCCAGCAGTGGTGAGCAGTCCACGGTGACTGCTTTGCACCCTGCTTCCAGTGCTGACTTACAGAGCTGCTGTCTGCACCCTCACCAAGCATCAGTTTCTCTGGCGGAAAAGTGGGAGTAAAAATGAATCAGCTATATGGACTGTGTGTCCGAGACAGGCAAAGCATCTGTCACCAAGCTGAGCTGCCAAACACCCCTGGCTTTGGTCTCACATCAGACATCCATGTCACCCACTTCAATGGCAGCGAAGTCCACTTCCCCACCCTTGTGCTTCTCATGGCTTCAGTTCTGCAGGGCTCTGGGAGGGACATTTCCAAGTGCACGACTGAGACTGTAAGTCTGAGCGTCCTAGCAATGCTGGGAGCAGAGGGTGCTCGATTGGGGCTCTGCGGCTGTGGGTAGAGAGGGGCAGGGAAGTGGGTCATCTCCCATCTGCCGGAGGATGCAAGTCGGCAGGGGTCACAGTGACAGCCACCAGCCCCAAGTGAGGCTTCCTCCCCTCACGGCCACCAGCCCCACACTGTCCTTTGTCCACTTTTCTGTGTTGAGGTCTCCCATTGGAAAAATAAGAGTTTTATTTATTTATTTTTTTTTGCTAAGAAAACTTTGGAAGCCACAGCTGTAAACAATATTATTGCTACAAAGAATTTAAAAAAACTCGAAAGCATTTCTTATGAAATCTGTTTAATAACACTCAAAGAGATAGCATCCTGTTCATTCTTAGATGAAGTTCCAGTGGGCCGTGTACTGGGATTCTTTATAGACCATTTCAGAGCCCTGATTTCTAATTTAATATTGTGTGTGTGTGCATGCATGCGTGTGTGTGTGTGTGTGTGTGTGTGTGTGTGTGTGTATGTCTTAAGTAAGGACAGTGCTGGTGTTTCCAGCACGTATGACTTGCTATTGTTTTCTTTCTCATTCCCACTTTGATAAAGCTGACAGACAGTTCGTAGAGAAACATGAGACATAGCTTCTGAAAAAGTTACATGATTGAGGAAAAGGTCACAGTCCAATGCTAAATGGAGGAAAAGCACATGGACACCCGAGATAAAATCATCTCAGCTCCTCACAGCTGCTGATCTGCACGCACGTGGGCAAGTGCTTGGAAATGAACTACGGGAAGGGAATGAACTCATCAAGTTACCATGGATGGGACTGCCACAGTTTTATGTGTTGTTCCATGCATTATTCAGGCTTTTCCAAATTTTCCACAATGAACGTGCAGAGTTGTTGGAAAGCAATGTAATTTTAGATAGATCTTCCCTACATTGTCCCAAATGATGAAATCATTCCTACACTTCTTAGACATATCTGTTTTATTCATGGACTCTACTTTTCATAGCATAAAAGTCTGTTTTCATATGTTATTTTTAATTTGCTGGATTCTTTGCTAGATTTGTAACAACCTGAGGTCAGAATACAATCTTCTGTTGTTTCCTATGTCTAAGAAATGCTCAAAAATACCATCATATCAAAAATATTTACTAAGTCAGAATTATGATGACCACTGTGTTACTAAACAGTTCTTTCCCCACTGACAAGTTCACAGCTTAACCCAAATTGATCTTCCAGTATCACACACAGAAACTGTAAAATCTCCTCTGTCCATGCTCTTATAGATCGTTAATGGTGATGCTGGGAGACAAAAACTTTCAGGATGAAAAGCCATGACTTTTTCACTGGGATTAACCACATATAATCAGCTCTAGTGTCTCCCATATGTCTGACTCACACAATTTTACTGCTGTGCCATTGGATTTTTAGATAACAAATAACCAAACTGACTTTGATACAAGGTTGTGTGGTATGAGAGATTAAATGCTGATGGCCCCATTCATCTGGCTCCGAGGTCCTGGCTTGGCCTTGGCAGTCCCTGCCGCATTAAGCCAGCATCCGTGGTGTCAAACCATTGTCTGCAGTGCAAACGTGGTATGGGAGTCAGAAGGTCTTAATATTGAGGATCGGATACCGGAGACTTGGGGATTTCAGGTCAATTCTGCATGGGCACAGGGGGCCTGGCCTCCCTCCTGTGAGAGGGGCAGTGGCTTCCACAAGTCCATGCAGTCACAGGGGCACCATCCTTTGAGGCAAGTGGGGAGCACCGAGGACAGTATAAGCAGTCAGTATCTCTCCTGGTTCCAAGAAATGCAGAGTGTTCTGGGCAGTACTCAGTCATTCCAAGCCCTGAGGCTTCCCTAGAGGACGGTCAGACAGCCATCCTCCCCAAGAAAGCGGGAGGAGATCCATCCAGGTGGCTATCGGGAATGGAGGCATAACATGCACAGAACTCCCGTGATGAAATGAGAAGGTGTGTGCACAGAAGCTTCAGTGAGCTCACGAAGGAGGGTGTGCATGGGTCAAGAAAAGCCCAGCGTTTCTGCAAAAGCCACTTGTCAGGGTGTAAGGCACATGCGACAGAGGTTTGGGTAGCTCTTAAGGAAAAAATTTAAATTGAATAGAGGGATGCAGCAAGGTGATTTTATTTTGTTTTATTTATTTTTTGAGACAAGGTCTCACTATGCAGTTCAGGCTGGTCTTTGTAACCCAGGCTGGTCTGGAATTTGTGATGATCCTCCTACCTCAGCCTCCTGAGTGCTGGGATTACAGGAGTACACCACCACACCTAGCACTTCAAGGTGACTTTAATTATCAAGTCACTGTGTGAAAGCACCAGGAGTAGGAGGAGCATTTGAAGTAAACCATAATATTCTGAAATATATCCACAAATGTCCAACTCAGGCACAGTTGGCAGGGGAGGCTCTCTCTCCCAGAAGGGGCCCCTGGACAAGGGTGCTTGTGGGCAGAGGAGGGGGAATGAGCTGACTGGCCCGGCACACCCGGGAGCTGCAGGCTGGCTGCAGGCCTCTCTCTCTGTGGGGGCGTCCAGCCAGATCCAGGGTCCCCGCTCTCCCCTGGAGCTTGGATATATGATCTGGCAGTGGATCAGGTCCTGTGCCAAGTAACTGGATCTCGCTCTTGCTCAAGGAAGAGCATTGTTCACTAAAATAGTTTGTCTTTTGATGCCAGAGGAAATCAAATTGTAATCAGGGGCTGAGAACAGACTGAAGTCATCAGGGCAGTCTTGCCTTGGATTTGGCAATGTTACACGTTCCCAGGATTATTAAATATAATTTATGTTGACAAAGGGGAGAGCGTCTATGATGCTGGACATTTGCTGTAAAGAACGCCCAATGAGCCACGGCGGAGTGGACAGAGCCTGCATCCACAGTGACTTCCATGAGTCACAGGGCAGGGAGGGATATGCAGCATGGGTGGATTCAGATTGTGTTGACAAAACCCTCAGAAAGACAGAACGCATTGGGGTGAGCAATGAAGCCGTGGTGCAGTCTGGTACAGCAGCTCTGAGATGCCAAGGGGTCTTCGCTCTGTTTCAGTTGGTGGCAGGGAAGGATTTGGAGAATCTTCCTTCTAGATCCGCAACTTCCTGGTTGCCCTAAGAAATCAACTGAAATTAGTACCACACAACAGGGACTGACTGCCCGCCCTGCTGTTCCCTAAAAGTGAACCTCCTGTGACTCTCACACCAAGGCTTGAAGGAGTTAAGAATTGAGGCTCCTGCACTGAAGTAATTTACCCCAAAGTTTCACAGGTAAGAAACTGCAGAGATGAGAAGCGAGTCCAGGTTCCCTGGCACCAGAAGTTGTTCTATTTCTAATGTGCCTCTCTGAGCTATCAAAGAGAGAGAGAGAGAGAGAGAGAGAGAGAGAGAGAGAGAGAGAGAGAGATCAAGCAATGTTTTTATCCGCTACCAAGCTTTCTCGCCAACGTTATTTTTGCCCTTATGAAGCGAAGCAGAGAACGTAGCCATTCCTTTAGTGTCTTCCAAAGGCTTCCTTCCTTGAGTTCGGGTTTGAGGGCACATGAGTTAAATTGGCGTTGGTCATCCACAACTTCCTTTGCAGGTGTCACACGGGAGAAGAGTGAAGCGGTCCTTTGAGCCAAGACAGTGTGAGGAAGTGTGAGGGCTGGAGAAAACTTTGGATATGCAAAATTAGAACTCACCCTCTAGAGCTACCATGAAGGTCCCGTACAAGGTAAGACTGAGAATCTCATGCACAGAGAACAAGAGGGACCGCTTCTCACCTGAGATGTGAGGGCTGATCAGACAAAAGTGCGTATTTAAATTTAAAATAATTTATTACAGTAAAAGGCTGCTGGCCTGAATCCCCCTCCATATCCTTCCCATCCCTATTCTTACCACTTTCCAAGGCAGTCCTGGCAGCCTTCTTTCTTTACGAGCTGTGCCAAAAAAATTTACAGTCAATAATGCGCTGAGTTTCACTGAATGAAAAACCAGGCTCATAGAAATGTTCCAGGGCATCCTCAGCCACTTATTCACCAGATTGGGTCCTCTTCAATTTCTCCTGACTTCCCCAAAGTCCAAAGGATCATGAAAGGGAAACACTCCAGAGGAATTCAGGTCATTGCATCAATCGAGGCAGCCGTGACAGTGTGGCTGAGGACGCTCATGAAAACAGATGTCAGAGCTTCTTCAGAGAGTGGAGAAATGGCAGGATAAGCTGTTCCAGGTGGAACGTGCTGAGGGTCATCGTGGTGATTACATCCTTACCATGTCATTTGTAAAAATTGTCATCTAGTTTGTGATCATGTCTCCTACATGCAGGAGAAAGCATTTAGGGAATGAACTCATGATCTTTGAATTAGGTAATTTATTTTTCTCTGGAAAAACATATTCATTTTTGTCAAAACAGAAAATTGCAGAGAAGTTTGTTTTCCTTATCTTTTTCCAGTGACACCTCGTTGGCCTTAATTAAGCAATCATGGTACTCGCTGATGCTGACTTCTCTCGCACGAGTGATTAAAAAGGAGACAAAAGCTTAGCCAATAAAATGACCAGATTAGATAGAAGTCAGAGGATCTGTGAGCCTGAGTTTATCAGGTCCCATGCTCAAAATTCCTTTTAATTTTATTTCATTTAGCAGAGAATCAAGAGCCACATGTAGGCTCACGATTCACTAAGTGGAAGGCAAGGTGAGAAAAGAAACCTGAGGCTCCCCGGCCTCGTGGACAGCAGGCGTGTTCAAGCATCAGAGCCTGGTTCGCACGCGCAGCCCACTTTCCTGGCAGGCACAGAGGAGGAAGGCCAGCCCTGTACACCGCAGCTGACTCTAGAGCTGTCCTTTGCCCTCCAGCCGGCTGGCCACTGTGGAGTGATCTGGGAGCCAAGGCGCTTCCCCCTCCATAGAGGAAAGGGTGACCCCACTGGACTCTCTCAAAGGGGAGAGCTCACATCATCATCATCGACACCAGCTTTTCTTTGACATGCGCAGCAGGTCGGACTGGCCCTGTCCCTTGCCCCTTGCCAAGAGTAAGAGCGAAGGCAAGTTGGGTTTCTGTTCCAAAGAAGTCACTTACAGGGGCGGCTTCACCCCACCCTGCAAACAGGGAAGGGGGCTCTCCATCGAGGCGGATGAAGGTGGTAAGGACGTGTACCATAGGATAAAGTTTCCAAAGTGAGACCCTTTTTAAAAAATTTTTATTTAAAAAAAGAGAAAAGTCGGGGCTGGAAATTTAGCTCAGTGGCATAAGCGCCTGCCTTGCATGCAGTCAATCGTGAGTTCGATCCCTGGTACCGATAAAAAGGAAAAAGACAAAAAAAAAAAAAAAAAAAAAAAAAAGAGAGAGAGAGAGAAAAGTCTGAAAAGAAAAACAAAAAGCAAAAGGCATAAACAACAACAGCAGATTCAAAACAATATAGGTCTTCAAAATAGAATGAAAGAAATTTAACAATGGTTGTTATATTGCATATTGTTGGCTTTTTTTTCTTTAAAGAGAAGAATATTAAAGACAATAGAACAACAGAAAAGAAGTCTAGAACAATACCGAATTAAAAAAAATTACCATCTTAGATTGCTAGTTGTTACATTTCTCATTGTAATCTTAAAAAATAGATGCCTAAGTCACATAATCAAAACCTAAATAGTGGCTAGACACTCAAACATTGATAGTACAAATCCTTCTGTTCAGTGTTCCAACAGAAATTCAGTAATATGGTCAGCTATCTTACACATTATACATACTGTTATACCCCTTAGAGTACTTTCCTTTTGTCCAAATGAGATTCTGCAGCTGGTTTAAAATGGAACGAAACAGCATTGTAACCACGAGGGCCACAGAAGCAGCCTGGGGCAGGGTGGTCCTGAGCACAGGGTAGACCCAGAGGCCCTTGGTTTCCCTCTGGGGCGCACTTCTGGCCCCTCCTGCTGGGCTGATGTTGAACCACACGCATCTGGCCTTGGATCACCCCCTCGCTGTGTGCTCCAGGCGTGTGTGTCCCACCCTGTGCTGGAGCGGATGGCCTCTTGGAGAAGATGAGTAATCTTCCCTGGAGACAGAGGCATTCTCTCCGCCTCTTCTCTCACTGTTTATGGGCACTGATTGCATTATACGATAAGGAGGACCAAGCCTGTCATGCTCAGGAGTATTTTCCCTCTTGGCAAAACAACTGTTCTGCATCTTCCCCTAGGCTCCCTGTTCAGGAAAGACGTTGGCAGGGATTTTCCCCAGGCAAATCTTTGCTCAGATAAACTTTAATGATAGGAGAACATACCTGGGGAAAAGAGCACTGCTTATAGAAACCCTTTAATAGCTTTAATGTTGGACAAAGGGTCTGGAAACTGCCCCAAACAGACATTTGCTAGCATGGCTACCTTCAGATTTACTCAATATATAGAATATGTATTAGCCTCTTATTTATTTTTTAAAGACCAGCATACATTTATTGAGAGAAAGAAAGCTTCTCTCTGAGAGAGAAAGAGACAGAAGGGGTCCCCAGTGGGGTGCCGAGGACTCTGCCTTTTCCAGGTAGTTTTTATAGAGAAAACCACGAAGTGAGGCGGGTCCACAGTGGGCATGGCAGGTGGATGTGAGACCCTGAGAAGTGTCATCAGCTTAAACTGGTGGCCATTTACCACTGTTGCCCAGGTGGTGGTGTGGCTGTCGTTTCGCCTGCATTAAAAACAAAAAGCATCAGGATTTCTGGGTTTCCAGCGTTTTGAACCACACCCTGTCTCTTAAAAGGGCTCAGTGCTAGCAGTCATCACAGCCACTCTCTGAACCGTGAGCTAACACAGCAAACAAGGCTGTGCAGTGAGTGGAGTCCTCCCCTCCGATGACTTGAGCTGTCCCCTTGTCTGTGTCTTCTTTGGGCACTGAAAACTGGGAGGTGTGTGCACAAAGGGCTTCCCGAGCCTCTGAGAAGCCTCTTTCTCCCCAGGCAGCTCTCAGATAAGTTTATACATTGCTTTTCCCAGTTGATTGAGACTGCGCCTGAGATCCGGGTGCTTGCCACCAGGGTGTGCACTGGTGGGTGGTCGGAGTGGTGAGCGAAGGTCAGGTATCAGCTCCTGAGTTTCCTGGAAGAGTCAGGCTCTGCTTCGGCCTTTGTAGTTGATCAAAGAGATGAAAATTGGTGATCAAGATGTAGACGGGGTATATTAGCAGCTTTTTAACAAATGACACTGAGTTGAAAGAGTTTTGCCCAAGAATAAATTACAGGATATTATAGCAGTAGTGGGAGGCCAAATCCAGGATGCTTACCCTGATGGCCACTTCCTCCTTCTTCTCCATTACAGCTTCCTCCTTCCTGTCCCAGTGCACGAAAAGAAAATTCCAATCAGCTCCTCATGCATCTTCAATGCCTGCCCCAGGCACCACGTCTGGTCAAAGGTCACATATACCCTACACAGGCTTATCTGGGCAGAAGAGAAAGCCAAACCCTTGCTGGTTGTGGGCTCCTCTCCACCCCTTTAAATAAAAAGGTCATTTTTACTTTTTCTTATATTCTGCTCCTTTATTGTGCCAGAAAACTTTACTCCAAGGACTGGTGACATAGCTTTATGGTAGGATGTCTGCCTGGTATGCATGAGGCTGGGGGTTCGAACCCCAGCATTGCGTAAATAAAAACAAAAAGCCTATAGTGAAGCAGAGTGGAGGGAGGAGCGGGGCAGGAAGACCAGCCCTCCCAGGGCATGTGGCCAGTGATGTCTCTCCCAAACCTCCCTGTTTCCTAATGATTGGTCTTGAGAACTTCCCACTTGCTCCCAAGGTGGGATGGGAGAGAGAGGGGCTCACCAGCCACTTCCAGGTTCTCTGTGTGCTCCCTGGGGCTGGGAGCATGAGACAGCGATGACACTCCCTGAGGGACAAATGAAACCCATCCTGCAAACAGACAGCAGTGCTGCCCACCAGCAAAGTCCTGGTTAACACTTATTACCTGCCAAGCATTGTGAAAGGGACCCTTGTGTCCAGGGTGTGCTCCCACACAGCAGGGTCACTAACTGCCTGCTTTGTCACAGAAGGCCTTCATCTGGCTGCACTGCGTGGCTTTTTTCCTGACCATTCCTTCTTCATGTACCCAGCCCCTGCTGGGCCTTGCTGACTCCTCTTTGTCCAGAATGCATTTGCCAGGACTTGATCACCTGCTCTCGGGTGTCCTCCTGGCTCGCAGCATCTTCATCTATAAAGCGAGGGAGCATTTGTGTCACTGCTGTGGTCCCTTTCTGGGATGTCCAGGGTGACTAGAAGGGCCATGTCCAGGCATCTGCCTGTGGGACAATCTTCATCTACCTGTTCTACACGCAACTAAATGTCGTCGTAGAGAGATGGGTCACATCTACATCCCATCCCATCAGTGCAGGAAGTGAAACCCTGCACTTCGATGGTGTCATGGACCCTGTTATGGTTTAGATGGGGAAGGTCCCCCAAAGACCTCTTAGGCATGGAAGATGACTCAATCATCAGGAGACCCGGAAGGTTGGGAGAGACATCACTGGCCACATGCCCTGGGAGGGCTAGTCTCCCTCCCCTGTCTTCCCCTTCACTCTGCTTCCTGTCCACCATGACATGAGCTGCTCTCCCCCGCCAGGCCCTCCCATCACGCTGCTTCTGTGTTTACATTGGCTGATTGGACTGAAACCTCTAACACTGAGCCAAGTCTTCTCTTTTAAGTCTAGGGGTCAGGTGCTGCTTCTTATTGATGAGAAAGTGACAGGGCAGCACCTATGACTGTGATGGTTTGTGATATTAAGACTGACTAGAAATTCCCAGAGAGAAAAGTCCAAACAGATCTTGAAGATGCACTCTCGGGACCCCAGGCCTTCAGGGTTTAGCCCTGTGGGCACTTCCCATGAGCACCCAGGTTCTACTGACATCTTACTTGCTGTCAGCTCTACAGCCTAGCCTGTGCAAACAACTCAGCAATTTAGCTAAACCTGATTGTCTCTAACTTCCAAATCACAGATGCTTTCTGCCCTAGGTCTTCGTCGATCCTATGTTCTTTTGCCAAAGTGATATTCATCCTACTATGTTCATCTCAAAGACTAAAGGCATGGTCCCACACTCACTGTATTTTGCTTTTTTGAATTCTTTTTTGTTGGTTTTTCATAAGTGTGTGACACAGGAGTTTCTGTACATCCACAGCAGTATATAAATATTATCAGTGCCTAATTCCAGAATCATTTTCTTTCTAAAAGTAGCCCCATGCCTCTTTCACACTCCATCCATCCCTCTCTTCACTTAGCTCGCAGGAACTGCTGGCTGACTTTCGGTCTCCATGGATTTCCCTCTTCACGCCCTGCATTTAAACAGTGCAGAATCACACAATATATGATTACTTGGGATTCTTTTCTCTTATTGCCACAGCAGGAACTTTGAAAGTTTCTCCACACCATTGCCGGTATCAATACTTTGTTCCTTTTCATTAATGAAGAGAATTCCCCTGAACGGGTATATCGTACTCTGTTTATTCATTTGTTTATCAGACATCTGAGTTTTCCCATTTTCCAGTTACAATGAGTAATGCAGATATAACTATTCATAAATCCTCATGTACTTTCATTTATGTGGACATAAATTTAATTCTCTTGAGCAGATACCGAGGAGTAGAACTGTTGGGTTAAAAGGTACTCATAGCTGAATTTTGCGGAACTGACAGATTTCCACAGTTTCTGGATCATTTCATAGTCCTTGTTTTCCGGCAACAAGTTTTGCTATTTATCTTTTTAGCTATGGCCATCTCAGTGAAGGTTGGTGTTTTGATTTGCATTTTATTACTGACTTATGATGAATTTTTTAATTTGCTGAAAGCTGACTTACTTATCTTCTTTGAAGAAATATCTGCTCATACCTTTTGACCATTTATTAATGGAATTGTTTATATTTTATTTTGAAACCCTGCTAACCCTCATCCTATCTGTAATGGACAGAGAGTATATCTCTATACTCTGGTTTGTATTTCCACTTCATTTATAGAGTCTTTGTTTATTTTTTGTCTTTTTCCTTTTTTATCGGTACTGGGGATCGAACTCACGACTGCCTACTTGCAAGGCAAGCGCTTATGCGGCTGAGCTAAATCCCCAAGAGTCTTTTACATTGAATGAAGTCCAATTTATCTTTTTCTTCTTTTGTTATTTGTGCTTTGGCCTCATATCTAATAAACCATTGTCTGTGCCAACTTCATGAAAATGTAATCCTCTAAGTTTCCTTTTAAGAGGTTCATACTTTAACAGTTAAATGTTTAAGATATTTTGCGTTCTGTTTTAAATAGCACACAGACATCCAACTTTCTTATTTGGAATGACATCCAGTCACCCCAACATCTTTTATTGTAGACTCTCATTTCTGTATTGAATTTTCTTGGCATCTTTGCTATTAACCAACGTGAAGATTTACTTAGGGCCTGAATTTGGTGTTATGAATCTGCCTGTCTTTCTAGTGCTAGTACCTTACTGTCTTATTACCAAACCTCTGTAATACAATGTAAACTGGGCGATGTGGATTCCCAGTTCTGGTTTTTTCAGACGGCTTTGGCTGCTGTGGTTACTTTGCCTTTCCATGTGAATTTCAGGATCAGTGTCTATTTCTGAAACAAACAAAGAAGGTAGAATTTTGGTGGTCACTGTCATATCTGTGGGTCACACTGAGGAGATTTGTTATCTTCACATTTTTGTCTTTTGGTTCATAAATCAGAAGTGCTTTTTGATTTATTTATATCTTCTTTGATTTCTTCCAGCAACCTTTTAGTTTTCAGTGTGCGTCTGGTACTTTGTCAGATATGCTTCTAAGCACTTGCTTATCGATAATATTTTAAGTGGAATTGTTTTCTTAACTTCACTGTCAGATTTTTCATTATGAGTTTATATAAATACTATTCTCATTAGTATGTTGACATTTTGTTTTGCAAAGCTGATGATCTTATTTCTCGCCACAGTTCCTCTTTGCCTCCCTCCCCTCTGAGTGCTCCTGCGGATGTGTTTTTCATAATTTTCCCTGCTTAACATCATGTCATCAGAGAATAATTTTACTTTATTTTTCCAGCCTAGATGTGTGTTACTTTTTGTTGGGAAAAACATTCTTGACAAAACCTCTGGTGCAATGTTGCTTAAAAATGTAGCAAGAGAACTTTGTCTGGGGTCTCATCTAAGAAAAGATTCCGTTTGTTCACCGTGAATGTCACATTACTTGTCGTTTTTTCTAAATATCCTTTATCTGGTTTTTATTTATTTTTTTATCTTGGGAGGGCATTACAGTTTATCAAATGCTTTTTCAGCCACTGAGACTGTCATGTGTATTTTTGTCCTCCGTTCTGCAGTGCACTATCTTAGTGCCTCTCACATTTTGAACCACCCTGTATTTCTGGGTTAGAGCTCATTTCCCATGATGTTTAGTCCCTTTAATGTGCAATTGCTTTGCTTCAGTCACCTACTATGGAAGATTTTGGGGTCTATTTTCATTATGAACCGTAGGTTATTGTTTTCTGGTGATGTCTTTGTCTAGTTTTATTATCAGGTTAATATTGACCTTGGGAGAATAGTCTGAAGTTTTGAGACAGGGCCTTGCTAAGCAGTTTAGGCTGGCTGGTACTGAAATAATCTTCCTGCTTCAGCTTCCTGAGTGCTGGGATTATAGGCATGCACAACCACACCCAATACTCAGGGAATACTTTGGGATGCTTTCTCTCCTATTCTATTTTTCCGAAGATTTTGTGAAGGATTGTTATTAATTCTTCATGAAATGTTTGTAAGAATTCATTATTGAAGATTTCTAGGCCTGTGTTCTTTGTGAGATGTGTTTTGATTTCTAATGGAATCTCTTGTTATAGCTTTATTCAGAATTATTTCTTTAATTAGTTTTGGGTTTTATGTCTTTTCAGTAATTGGCCTACTTTACCCACATTGCCTGATTTAACATACACCAGCTCGTAATTTCCTGTGACCCCTTTTATTGGTATAAAATCCCTGATTTTAATTATTTGAGTCTCATCTCTTTTTACTCTAGCAGACTAGCTAAAGAGTTGTTAATTTTGTAGATCTTTTCAAAGAAACAATTTTGGTTTCATTGGTCATCTATATTGCTTTTCTTTATTTGTTTTAGCTGTAATTGGTATTGTCTCCTTGTTTGGTGTGTTGCTCTTTGTGTATTTTAATTACTAGAAGGTTACATATTTACTGGAAATCTTTCTTTGGTTTTAATATCAACCTTCGTTGCTATAAATTTTCATCTAAGATTTAGTTATATTTGCATGCTATAAATTTTAGTTTATTTTCATTTGCATTCATATCTAAGCGCATTGGTTGTTTCACTTGTATCTTCTCTGGTCCTTTGATTAATTTAAGAATGTGCAGTTTAACTTTTGCATATTTGTAAATTCCCCATGTGTCTGCCTTTCTGTTATCGATTTCTAAGTTCATTTCACTGTATTTGGAGAATGGACTGTAGATGATGTCAGTTATTGTAAATTTATCTAGACTTTTTTACTGCCTAACATCTGGTCAGTGATGG